AAACCTTATAACGGGCTGCTAAGACCAATTGAGTAAGTAAATAAGTAATGATTACGATTTCTTTGAAAAAAATTTGAAGTAATACGTGTTAAATCAATGATTTCAATCTGAATGCTGGATATTTACGTGTAGTACCTCTTATGAGTTATATGAAGTTCTTTGAAATGAACTGAACTTTGCAATGGCTATACTTGGACTACTGTAGTCTGATACTTTGGTATCAGAAGGATCAATTTAAAAAGATAAATCAAAAGAATCTCTACAATGCATTTCACTATGACTAAGTTTTTCGTGTCTGATATCTTAATAGTATTCTAATCATACTCTTTAAAATATAAATTGCAATTTATGAGAAAACTTTTTCAAAAATAGGTATGTGTTTTAAATTTTTTTAAATATCTAATATTAGATCCAAAAGTATCTTACAGAAATGATCTAAAAATAAACATTTATTTCGAAAAAATTCCGTTGTGAAATATATTAAATTTGTTTAAATTAAAAACAAATAAATTCCAATCGGGACAACTAATCAAAACTAACCCATGCGGAGGGGCGTTTTTGTGCATGACCGAACCGACGATGTCAACAACACCTAAGGATTAATTAAAATTGCTGTTTATCAGGAGGAAAAATCGCATAACATGGATTTTATTGTAGCTGAGCAGTGGCTGGAAATACTTGGCGGTCTGCGGTGTGCAGCGTATGATGTGCGGTTCGTTCGACTTTTCAGTTTAACACAAACAAACAAACACAATAGCACGACAACACAACGTAACAATAACTGCAACAACAGTGCTGTGGATGTGATGTGGATGGCATGTTCGTAATGCGCCGTAAATTGGAGCTGCAACAGGCGTCAATCTTTGATTTAACAGTTGACCTGGCAATTGCGTGGCGAAGTAATTTGTTGTACCACTCACATTGTCAACTGTGTAGTTTCTATGTCTGGAATGGGGCATGGCATGTACTTAGCGAGGTGGTACGATGGTATTGCTTCTGTGAGCCATTAGCAGTTCTCTTCAAAATATTATTATTAAAGTCGTGCCGCCTGTTTAATGTGAACCAAACATGTAATCCCATTTTCCAGTTCGTTAATGCTTCCAGTTTACAGCACGAACTTTGGTTAACTATGCAATGCTTTTTAACTGACCTTACCATTTACTAAAGGCAATTAAACGTGTGAACGTTGCAGCTCGAATACAAAATTCAACTTGAGGTAACATATTGCCCCAATCCAAATATGGTTGAATCGATAAGCACTGAAAAATGGTTCCTTATGTTAAAGTGGATTGAGAGGAAGATGTGTATATATAGGAATTTTACTCGGTTAGTACGACAATTCATTTAGAATAAATGTTTCATTCATTGAAATTAAATATTAAATCATATTGTAACCATGCAGTTGGATTGTAGTTTAAATAATAATCTTAAAATGAGCGAGAAAACTAATTAATTAAAAGATGAGCGAGAAACCTAAACAGAGGAATTGATAGGAATTAGATATCAAATCATATTGTAAACAGAGAAATTGATAGGAATTAGATATCAAATCATATTGTAATCATGCAGTTGGATTATAGTTTAAATAATAATCTTAAAATGAGCGAGAAAACTAAACAGAGTAAAGAAAAGAGAGAAAATGAGAGAGAGAGAAAAGAAAAGAGAGAGAAAAGAAAAGAGAGAAAAGAAGAAACAAAAAAGTTGAGAAAGAAATGGAAAGAAAATAATTGGGAAAGGGAAAAGTTGAAACAAAAAAGGAGAGAAAGAAAAGGAGAGAAAAATATTGTTTTCCTGCTCTGTGACTGTCCCAGACTGAGTAGAACGGGAAATGTTTATCGGACAATTAAGATGTGTGTATTCAAGAGTTGTGTGCTTCATTAAAACAGTTAAGTTCTAGTCTAGAATGAAGGTATCTCCATTCAAAATTATTAAAGTCTTCCTGACTGTACCGTAACCAAATTCTTAAGCACACCAAAGTGTCTAGAGTTTCTAGAGTCTAACAGACCCCTCTTTCTTCAGGTGGATATCTACTGCCAGTGATATATAACTTTATATTAAACTGACTTTATAAATTAATCGTAGGCTGTAATGTGAAGTCGGCTACACCGGCAGTCATCTAAAAATATTGTAATAATAAAGTTACAATGAGTTTGTGACATAATAATATAAATTAATTTAATTCAAAAACTAAAAGCATATGTAAATATTTGATAAAATTAAAAAAGTTTGTAAAAGTAACAAGATTTCGTATCATTTTGCGTGTTTTAAGTGAACTGCACGCGACCCACCGCAGCAATGACATTTCCAAATGAAGTCCAATGAAATGCGGAAAAACTATGAATAGTTCGGAGCAACTGAATCGGATTTTGGAATTAGTTTGGAGTTGAAAGTGCGTGTATGTGGACTGTACGAAATCATTTCAATTGCAAAAAAAAAATAAAAAGTTATTCAAAATATCTTAAAGAGTTTTTCATAATAATTCATCTTTTTCATTATCGCTTTTTTCATTAAGCAGGATTTTAGGATAACGTATTTTAACAGGGATTCTAAATATGTGCAAACATTTTGTTGCTCTGGGTTGGGCTTCGGTATGTCTTCAATGGCTTTTAGTGTTGCCTAATGCAGCAGCTGAAAGCGGCAACAATGAAATGAGCAACACCACTATCAAGAGCGACACAAATTCGGTTCAAAATATTGCTGCTACTCAAGTTGACAATACCAGCACTAATGCTAACGATAACAATAGCACTGGCAACATCAGCAGAAGCAACAATAATAATAACAACAACGACAACCACAACCACAGTAATCCGCACTTCAAATCAAATCGAACGACAATTGTGCATTTATTTGAATGGAAATTTTTGGATGTTGCTGAGGAATGCATAAATTTTCTGGGTCCGAATGGATATGCCGGCGTACAAGTAAATAACGCACGATAGTCGCATAAGCACATAAAAGACAAGAAACATGCAGTTCAGTTTAGTTTCCATTTCTATCGAAATTGCAATGATTTCTCATTGCGATTTTCCATAATTTTCCAAATTTTGAAATTAGTAGAGGAAAATAGAAGAATGAAATATAAATTTTTCTTAAAATTTCAAGAGTGGAACACAGTGAACCCCAAAAAAAAATGGTTTTAATTATTGACAGTAATTGAGAAGATAAGATGATAAGAGGATTGCACACGGCATATAGTGCTAAGATTATTTAAACCAAAGAGACTCAGAGTCAGAGATTTTTAATTATCAGAGATAATTGATTACACATTCGTATAAATCGATTCCATTCATAATTAATAGATATAATAGAATGTGTTCTATATTGATGTAGTAGCAGTCTATCTAACTGAATTGAATCAAAAATTGATTAAAGAGAAAATCTATGAAGATTTTCGACTTTGCTTCACATAGAGTCTATTAGTTCCTTTATTTGGAAGTACAGATACATTTTTTGACATACTCTGTATTGAATATGGCAATACGATGACGATGTGTCTGAGTTTTTGCCGGTGCAGCATAGAATTTAAAGCAATTTCGAATCGAAAAATATCAAATGAAACTTATTAACAATCGAAACATTATTATTCTTCCAATTATTTATCTTCATCATTCCTTATGATGTAAAAATACATTTTACAATTTTTAAATAATTCGCCAATAATAAAGGAGCACCATAATCGAAGGCACTCCTTTTTTGAGGTACCAGAAATGCCAATTCAATAGTCCACTCATAAAACGTAATGCCTGATGAATTTTCAGCAATATATCAATTTTGTTTATTTTTATGCTTTTGCAATTTATTATTCCATGACTGTCACATACTCGTATTCATCCGTGGCTCTGTTGCTCTGTTGTACTAACTGTTGTTTCTGTTGTTATTCCATGCACTTGCAACAGTTGTCACCCGTCACGGAGCATTTGGTTGTGCGTACTGCAAGGTATAGTCATCCCTGGTGGGAGCGCTATCAACCTATTTCATACAAGATAGCAACACGTTCCGGTAGTGAAGATGAATTCCTGAAAATGACGCGTGCCTGCAATGCAGTCGGTGTACGTATCTACGTGGATGTAGTGCTGAATCATATGGCTGCAAATAAATACAACCCCACCGACAGTAGTCACAGGAATACGAGTAACACTAAAGATAAAACAAACGAGTCCAATGGCACCTTTCCATTGTTGGGAAATGCCGGCAGTAAGGCAAATGCCAACACTTTTGACTATCCAAGTGTACCATATAAAGTTAAGGATTTTCACAAAGCATGCATGCTAGAAAATTATCAGGATGCACATGAGGTGCGTAATTGTCAGTTGGATGGACAACCGGATTTGGATCATTCAATTGCTAATGTGCAAGTTCGTATTGTTGAATTCTTAAATAAATTGGTGGACTTGGGTGTGGCAGGATTTCGTGTTGATGCAGCAAAACATATGTGGCCAATTGATATAAAGGTGACTGCCACTTGAGTTTGTATTGAGATTTTATGCAGTTTCATGCACAATTACTTTGTATTGGTGACAGTTTATTATTTTTAAATTAAATATTTTTTTTTTGTTTTTATCCAGCATATGGTCAATAATGTAAAAAATTTAAATAGTGAAGACTTTGATTTTGCAATGGGAGCAAGACCATTCCTTTATCTCGATGTTGCTGATGTTGGTCTTGATGCAGTATCGAAGTAAGTAAGCTATTAATTTTGATTTGTTTACACGAACTTTAAATGTGATTGAATTTGTTAAAATAAATGTACCACAGAATACTCATTAGTACATCACATTGCTATCTTTCTTCTTCAGGTACTAAGTAATTATATAAAAATAATAACAGAAACGCATGTGTTTATTTTAGTAGCCAAGTTAAAAGTGTACAAGCTCTTTTATAAAGTTGAGAGCTACGAAGGCCAAACGGGACTTTTCCAGATGTCCCATTTGGTGGCAATCAAACGATCGAATAAGATCGCATGATTATGACTTCAATGAAATTAAGCGCAGAGGTTGGATTTGAGAAAATTTCTTAGGACTAACCTTTCAAACACGTGCTATTATTAATCATTCTCATCTTCCTTGCAAAAGCCATATTTATTTAGTCGTAAGAATAGGCAACTCATAGTCCTCTTCTCAGCCTTCACGTCAAACCGTTGTGTAAATACAATAGAGCTTTTCAAGATCGTGAGTAATGAGCTATAAAGTACCAACAACAATATGCTTCGATATT